CCCCACCCTTCGTTCTATCCCTCCGCGTCGCCAAAGAAGCGCAACACAACGCTAAAAACGAGCGAAGCGTTCAACATCCACAGCAGATTTCCGTTCCAGATTTCCTGCGCCCTTCCCCGCTCCGCGGCTCTTTTGTTTTTGTTTCGCGTCGCCGCCGCCGGCAGCGCCAGCCGCGCGCGCGCGCGGCTTCGGTCGCCTCCTGCGTGGCGAAGTGGCAGGAATTGAAATGGATTCGCCTTGGAGAAGTAATATCTGTATTTGTTTGCTCCCGTCTCCATCCGCGACTCGGCACCAGACCGGTGATGCGGAGTGCGGCGCACTGCGGCCGACAGGCAGCCAGATTCCAATCTCGTTATTACGATCCCGCTTTCGAAAAGGGGAAGGGCGAGGGTGAGGGTGCGGGTCGGGGCGTTTAAGGCACGGACGGAAAAGGGTCCGAACACCGCTAGTGCGTGAATTGGTGTCGATAAGACCGCCCTCGACATATCACTTCGCGAGAGAGCTTTCGAGTTATGGACTGCCGTTATTTACTGAGCATGTGTCGAAGAGATACTTGAGACGGTCAATCTGAAAATGGATTTGATTTGTGGAAACTCTTCAACATCAGCTGTACCTGTTCTTTGGGAGTGTTGTTGTGGTATGCACTTACAAATGATTTATTTTCAGGCAGCATGTTGTTTTTACAACTTTGTAAATACAAATATTCTATTATTTTGTCCATTTGCTACGTTGTTGTAGGAGAAAAAATTTGAAAATCATCATCATGGCTCTGCCGTGTTCTTGAACTAATTCACTCCCCGTTCCCTGCGAGCCCAAGCCGAGGAGGAGGACTGGGAGATGGAAGAACAAAGAACAATTTGGTATAAAATGCATTTGAAATTATGCGTTGCACGAAGTCGAGATTGTTAAATATCATTCGCGAAGACAGAAGGCCGAATCCTAGTCGCCAAGTTGAACATTTATACTCAACTGTACTAAAGCATAACGAACAAACTTGGTAGTAATATAACCAATTCGCTCGGAAGAGACTGGTCTGTTTTACAGATGTATTGAGCCGGGTCATCAACGTGAGTTACAATGGAGGATAAAAAGCATTATAAAAATATTGGCATAATAGTCTCAACTGGACACTAGCTACCCTCTCCCCTGAACAGGGGTTTCTTTTCTTTCAACACGTTCAAGTGAACCACCGTCCGAAAAGCGTTTGCTTCAACATCTCGAACTACGGTTCGTTTACACATTTTTCAGACAGATATCACGTACTCTCATTACATCGTTATTACGTTTTTAATCTTTCTCGTGGAGCAAGAATCACTTTATAACTTCTTTCTCGTTCTACCACATTATTCCCTTTTTTGAGGCATTAGTGTTTAATAAATAGAAATCATAAAATGAGGGGAAAGACGAAAACAGTGTTTGTATGTGTGTGTGTGTGTGTGTGTGTGTAAGAGAGAGAGAGAGAGAGAGAGAGAGAGAGAGAGGTGAAGGAGGAGAAAGTGTAAGTAAAGGTAAGGAATCAATAAAAAAGAAAAGAGAATTAAACGAAATTGTTTACACCCCTATTCTTTGCTTCACATGTTTTTCTTAATCGATTAACGTGTTAACGTGTTTATATGACTGAATCTAAATTAAGCTCCCCAGATAAAATATTTGCTTCACACGGCTGCTGTACGTACTCTGGGACCCATGATTTCTCTTTAACGCTTTTGAGGTTGTTTTTTTTCTGGTTTGATTAAAAGTGATTCCGATTATGATTGCGAGTAACTGTAAATGTTAATAATAGGTTCGCAAAATTTTATTTCAAACAAGTTAATAATAGTGACTCACAATGCCCTGACAACATTTATTAATCATAAATCTCTATTCCAAATTCCGTGACCTAATCCTTGTTGTTGGGATTACACACACGCACACACACACACACACACAATGAGTGTAAACCTGTAGCAGTGAAGCGTCAAAACAAGCACTCCATTTGTTTAAACTGAAGAATGTAATATATGGTTATGTGTATCATTCAGATTGTATATTATATTTTTATACAAGTGTTCACAAGAAAAGTTTTCCGCAGTTGAAAAATACGAGTATGTACGAGATAATTTTCACAGCTTCAGTGAAATTTCACTGCTGTGTTGACAGTTGAAAACAGTCTCGAAAAAAATGAATTCATTAGAAAATGGCTGGAACAAAACTGCATTCACATATGTTGACAAATATTCCGTATTCTCATGAAATATTTTTGCGATTTTAATTGGTCCCGCTATTATCATTGTGGTAAACCCTTCAACGGGAACAATATATACACTGCATTATGCGAGAATAAAATGAATTCGTCTGTGTCGTAGCCTTACGCGGTTTTGGAACATCAACAGAAGATCACTAGAGCGAGAACATCTTCATCATTATTTTCGTTCCGTCAAATCCACGGAATGAGGGTGCATTTATCCACCGCAAAACAGATCTACCATGCGTCACGCCCAGAACCACCACTGCCGGTCACACAAATTCATAATAGATAGAATACTTCCGTTGCGTCATCCCTGGCTGGAATATTTATCCTACCTGACGCAAAAACATTTTTATAACCAGCTTTTTTATTTGTGTAAAAACAAGTAATCCAGTACCTTGCTATTCTGTGAGAGATCTCTCCCTTGCTACCACACTTGTTTTGGGTCACTATCCGTGTTTGATTCTCGTAAATAATTCTGTTTTCGATATTAATAGGAAGAGATTCCAATGAAATTCGTGAGGACGAAGGAAATATCTTAAATTGGTCGCGAAATTCTTTCAGAAGAAAATTGACACTGATACTGCGCGCTCCGCGGAACCACAGCCGGCTACAAATATTCATAATGATTAAAATACTTCAGCCGCGCCCGATTATTTATTCTACCTGTCACAAAAAAATGTTTAAACCTGCGTTTTTATTTCCATGAAAACAACCATATGTGTGCCGTACATAATGGGGTCTGTTAATTTTTAATAGAGCTATCAATGCGTCAGTGGCCGGAATGGCTTTTAGCACGCAATTCCGCCCGGGCGGTACGGCACTGCAGCTCGTCGGGTCGATCAAAAGTTGTTTCGATACCCCACTCTCCTTTGTGCCGGAGCGGTAATTAAAATGTCGTCCGGTGGAGCGCGCTGGAGACATCGGAGGTTTTCATCACGGCCTGTGACGCGTCTCGTGGGTTTAAAACAACTCCCTTCACACAAGGCCTCTCGCAAGCCTAGCGAAAGAAGCCCTATTTTCGCTGTTTTCCAACGCATCCTTTTTTTCCCCTCCTCCCTACCTCGCTCTCCCGTGTCTCTCTCCCACTTTCCCTTGCCTCGTAAAATAAAATACACGCAGCAGTCGGTAAAGCATTTTGCGCCGATGAAAAAGGACTTCCTTTTCAATTTGAAGGGCGCTCCAGCCCAAAAGAAAGTCGCGCGGAAAAGAAACAAAGCGGTTACTGCTTGGGGGGGGCGGACAAATCGCGCGGGGTCGTTGCGGCCGCAGCGGAACGCAAATGCGAGGTAGGGCGGTTTCCCTCTCGAGAGGCCGAGGTAATGGCCTTGCGGCGAAGGAAAGGAGGGTTACTAACGATTTTATCAG